CAAGACTTTGTTGACTACCGCACCTATCCTTACCTTGCCAGTAGAGGGTAAGAACTTCATTGTTTATTGTGATGCATCCTATTCTGGTTTGGGTGCAGTACTAATGCAAGAGAAGAGTGTGATTGCTTATGCTTCAAGACAATTAAAAGTGCATGAACGTAACTATCCCACTCATGATTTGGAATTGGCCGCGGTAGTGTTTGCACTAAAGCAATGGAGACACTATTTATATGGGGTTAGGTGTGAGGTCTATACGGATCATCGTAGCCTACAATATGTATTTACTCAGAAAGATTTGAACTTGAGACAGAGGAGATGGATGGAACTACTGAAGGACTATGACATCACTATTTTGTATCATTCGGGGAAGGTGAATGTTGTAGCGGATGCTTTAAGTAGAAAGGCGGGAAGCATGGGAAGTCTAGCTCACTTGCAAGCTTCTAGACGCCCATTGGCTAGAGAAGTTCATATTCTGGCTAACGACCTGATGAGATTAGAAGTAAATGAGAGGGGAGGATTGTTGGCTTCTGTGGAGGCAAGATCTTCCTTTCTTGACAAGATTAAGGGAAGACAGTCTGATGATGAGAAACTGCGCAAAATTCAAGATAAAGTATTGCGAGGAGAGGCTAAGGAAGCACAAATCGATGAGGAAGGTATTTTGAGAATCAAGGGAAGGGTATGTGTACCCCGCGTCGATGATTTGATCAACACTATTCTGACAGAGGCTCATAGTTCAAGGTATTCTATACATCCGGGTGCAACCAAGATGTATCGTGACCTAAAGCAACACTTTTGGTGGAGTAGAATGAAGCGTGATATTTTTGACTTTATTGCCAAGTGTCCAAACTGTCAACAAGTAAAGTGTGAACACCAAAGGCCCGGAGGAACACTTCAGAGAATGCCCATTCCGGAATGGAAGTGGGAAAGAATTGCAATGGATTTTGTGGTTGGTCTTCCGAAGACAATGGGTAAGTATGACTCCATTTGGGTGATTGTTGATAGGTTAACTAAATCTGCTCTTTTCATTCCGGTCAAGGTGACTTACAATGCAGAAAAGTTAGCCAAACTTTACATCTCGGAAGTGGTGCGATTGCATGGGGTTCCACTATCCATCATATCAGATAGAGGTACGCATCTAAGTTTTGGAAAACATTGCATGCGGAATTGGGTACTAGGTTGGACCTTAGTACTGCGTTCCATCCTCAGACCGATGGTCAGTCTGAAAGGACGATTCAAGTGTTGGAGGATATGCTTCGTGCGTGTGTGATAGAATTTGGTGGCCATTGGGATAGCTTCTTACCCTTAGTGGAGTTTTCATACAATAATAGCTATCACTCAAGCATTGATATGGCTCCATTTGAAGCATTGTATGGTAGGAGATGTAGGTCTCCCATTGGTTGGTTTGATGCGTTCGAGGTTAGACCTTGGGGTACTGATCTCTTGAGGGATTCGATGAAAAAAGTGAAGGCTATTCAAGAAAAGCTTCCAGCGGCGCAAAGTAGACAAAAAGAATATGCAGATCGAAAGGTTAGAGACTTAGAGTTCATGGAGGGTGAACAAGTCTTGTTGAAAGTTTCGCCCATGAAAGGGGTGATGCGGTTTGGTAAAAGGGGTAAACTAAGTCCAAGGTACATTGGACCATTTGAAGTACTTAAGCGAGTAGGGGAGGTGGCTTATGAGTTAGCCTTGCCTCCAGGGCTGTCCGGAGTACACCCGGTATTCCATGTGTCGATGTTGAAAAGATACCATGGGGATGGGAATTACATTATCCGTTGGGATTCAGTTTTGCTTGATGAGAACTTGTCTTATGAGGAGGAGCCTGTTGCTATTTTAGATAGAGAAGTTCGCAAGTTGAGGTCAAGAGAGATTGCATCCATCAAGGTGCAATGGAAGAATCGACCGGTTGAAGAAGCCACTTGGGAGAAGGAGGCGAATATGCGAGAAAAATACCCACATCTGTTTACAGATTCAGGTACTCCTTTTCGCCCTTGTTTTCCTTCTTTTGATCGTTCCGGGACGAACGATGGGTAAATTGGTATCTAATGTAACGACCCGTTTAGTCTTTTTGAGCAACAGACTGCAATTCTGAAAAAACTGGCAGAAGCGACGGACCCCACGATGGAACGTCATGGGCACGACGGACCGTCGCAGGGTTTCTTTTCAAAACACATAGAATTAGGGGATCGGAGTGTCACGTACCGACACATGTAGGGGATCGGAGTGTCACGTTCCGACACATGTAGGGGATCGGAGTGTCACGTTCTGACACATGTAGGGGATCGGAGTGTCACGTACCGACACATGTAGGATTTCAGAGTGTCACGTACCGACACATGTAGGGGATCGGAGTGTCACATTCCGACACATGTAGGGGATCAGAGTGTCACGTTCCGACACATAGAATTAGGGGATCGGAGTGTCACGTTCCGACACATAGAATTAGGGGATCGGAGTGTCACGTACCGACACATAGTAGTAGGGGATCGGAGTGTCACGTACCGACACAAGAGGAAGAAAGATAATGAATCTTGAAAGATGATAATATACTCAACTTAATAAACTTAATTCCCAAATGAGTATGGTGTTGAGGGTTGAGCCCTCATGGATGAACTTGATGGTACTTATTGATGATTATAGTACTTGTTGTTGCTACATGTTGAGTTTTATAGTTGATTTACGATAATATTTGATATATATTGTTCCCTATTTTGAGTTGGCCGATGATATCTATTCAGTACCCGTGTTTTGTACTGACCCCTACTTTTATGTTTTTCTCCTTGTTATTTGTGGAGTGCAGCAAACGTGCCGTCATCTTCGACTCAACAGTAACTCAAGTCAGTCTTCGTCACACCGGATCTTCAGGGTGAGCTAACGCTTCTAGCTTGGACTGGATCTTCTCCTTCATGTCTTGATGCCTTGAACTTCCGGCATGGACTAGCTTCTTATGTATTTTTAGCTTTTAGATACTCTTAGTTTAGTAGTTTAAAGTAGATGTTCTTGTGATGATGACTTCCAGATTTTGGGAATAATAGATGTTGAATAATAATAGTTATTGATTTTATTAATGAGTTTAAGTCTTCCGCATTACTTTATGTTGATATTATATTGAAATGTTAAGGTTAGATTGGTTGGTTCGCTCACATAGGAGGGAAAGTGTGGGTGCCAGTCGCGGCTCGGATTTGGGTCGTGACAAAAATCAAAGTAGAAGACTCCATTAAAGATTGTTTCAATCTTTTTCAAGAATCTTCTTCAAGAGATTTCAAAAACCTAAATTCAAGAATATCAATTTAGGTTTTGTTGATTGTTTACCTTCAAGTTCTTGTTCAATAACCTTGTTCTTTTCACATATGCAAGATTATCATAGTGTTAGACTAGTTCGTGCGCACACCCTACATCTACTTTCAAATCAGTAAAAGAGAAATGTAGGATCCACCCCCAGATGTAAGCATTCTTGAGATAAGTTGATTTTAAATACTTGAATTCCTGATTCCTTTGAAATTCTATTTTTAGGTATTGAGTTTCTCTATTTTTATTGAGATCCTTGAGTTGATTTGTTCATATTTATAATTCAGCATAAACCTATTTTGAGTTATAAATCTTTCGAAGTTTTTCAAAGCCAATACTTAAGTTTTAAGCTGATCTTTTGAGAAAGTAAAGATGAGTTTTGAGAAAAAATTTAAAGGTTCTATTTAATAAAGACTTAGGAGTTTATAATGTTGATTCATACACTGAATGTTGAATTACTATGATATCCCCAATGAAAAATATTTAATTTATTTAATTTAATTATTTATATTATATAATAGTAGAAACCCTATAATATGAAAGGGTTGTGATTTTTTTTTGACATTTCGATTATTGTAAATTTTTCGAAGGCTTGTGATTTTTTCAAAGGGTTATATCCATTTCTCAATGAGTTGTGACTTTTCCAATGAACAAAGACTTTTTTGAAAGGTTGTAACTTTTCTGATAAGGCATAATTAGCACCTATTCATACTACTATTTATCAACTATAAATAGAGGGGCTTCATATCACTTTTAAACTATGATTTTTTACAAAAATTTTCTACTCTTCTTCTTCTTAAAAAAATCTAAGGGTTACTTGCAATAATTGATTAGTTCAAAATTCAATTATATTTAAGATAACACATAAGAAAGAAATGGGAAACACATTGTAGCAATTCATTCATAAATTTACACTCCTATTTTTCTTACGATTTCCATGAATCAACAATGACGAAAAGTTGTTGAAAAGACAATAATATAAAACAATTATGAAAGAAATCACATAATTTAGTGAAGATATTTCTTTTTTTCATTTTTTACCCTCAAATGAAGCTTAATCTACTGAAACATTAATTTTGATGTTAAATCTGCTGTTTAAAAAATAGATTTTTCCTTTTTACTTACAATATGATAATATAGCACTGATAATAATTATTTTTAATAGATATGTAAGTAATAATGAACGGAGAAAGTAAAATGTTGATGGTAAGAGATTTTAAATTAAATGGAACACTATAGCGAATATAGTATGAATATATGTTTTTGTTTTTCTTATTCATTGGCTATGTGTCGTTCCATATATTTTTTCTTTTTAATATTTTAAGTATGAATGATCTTCTGTTATTTTCTGTTCAATTTAACTTGAGAAAATGTTATGTCACACGATACACTTCTTGCTACCTATATAAAAATAGATAACAAAATAGTGATTGATCATAAAATAATCTTAAATTAAATTAAAGATTCTACAAACAATACTTTAAATTTTATTCATCAATTAACTTTTATTACTGAAAAAGTTTAAAATTTTATATCACGATACAACTTTTATAAAAAAAAATAGATAATTTCATTAGACATGTCACACCCCAAGCCTATACCCTGGACGGGACAAACACTCGAATACCATGGCTGGCCTCGAGCGCACCCTTGACCTGGCTTACTTAACTTAGTGGAGGACAATATACATAGTTATATAATGATCAATAACCCAATTGAACTGATAAAACTGAGAATGTTTTAAAGATTAAACATTCAATTGGCCAAAAGTGGCAACCCAAGTCTTAACCAATAGAAAGATAATGAAAAGACTAAAGGACTAACATCTGACTGTCTACCTATGAAGCCTCTAAAACTGAGATGGATGTTGGGAAAGCCCCCTCAACATCCTAATAAAGAAAAATACTGAAAGCAATTAAAAAATAATAGTCCTCCGGGTTGCAAATAGGTTCACCAATTGACTCTGAAGTGATCAACTGGATCAACGGTGCGCTGGATGCCAATCCTCGTTACCTGCGTCTATATCATAATACGATGCAGGCCAACTGACATCACTACATTGAATGTATGAGTATGTGAATTGAAATGCTAAATGACATAGGCTTGAAAGAGATTCTAAAAGAAACACTTACTTTGACTCTTCTCAGCTAATGAATACTTAACTGAACTCATTTCAAGATAAACAGTTTAAAACAAGTGCAATATTAAGAAAAAGTTTTTTAAAAACATGATGTCAACTCTGTGTATATCCAAGGATACAAAATAACTTTGAAAATGTATGTAAAAGTACAATAAACTGATGTATATAAAAATACATTTAACTTTTGTGGGAGTTTCTCTAACCGATAACCATCACATAAGAGCTTTAGTGATGATACAACGATTTACCTCATACTGCCAGCGCATCCTATCTCAGTGCTCAATACTACTCCCAAAATATATTGACTCTCATGTTTTCAAAACATACTTCTTATGTGATTTGAGATTAGTGCTCAAAACATAGCTCAAAGACTGCTTGCTTCATTTAGTAAGCTATTACTTTTTCCTCAAAATTAGCTCGAAAGCTCTTTGAAAATCTCAATTTCCGTTCTTGTTTAAATGTGAAAGCATATCCTTTAAACCTATTTGAGAATACATAGTCCCCGTATACTTCTTTGAAGAAAGAACTTCAATTTTACTATTTTCTGAACTCAACTCTTAAGTCTTAAAACAAAGTTAAAACGTTTGTAAAAGACTTCTTGAAAACTTGAAATGAACTTATCTTACTTATCTTTACTCTTACTCAACTTGATCTTTAAGTCTTAAAACAAAGTTAAAAGCATTTTCAAAAAGACTTTTTGAAAGGACTCTAAGAACTTTCTTTTACTTACTTCTTAACTTTTAGACTTGACTCTTTAACTTCGTTAACTTTGATCTTAACTTTCCTTAAAATTAATTTATGAATTCAAGGATCATGGTCTAATGTGAATGGATGTATTCATGATGTTTAATGTACCTTAGAGTGTTAGAATCAACTAGGGAACATAGGTACATCACTTAGGAACTAGTATGGAAAGATGGGGGAAGAATGAGGAGAACTAGTGTCCCTGGCGTTCTGAGAGGTGTGGCGCTCTGTCTGGAAGGACACCCCAGAGGCCAACGGACAATGTCGCACCTTATTTCGAACCGTCCGAAACAGTTTACAACATGGCTGACACTCTGATTTTTGAAAAAATTGTTTGTTTAGAGTCGTCACCTAAATTTTAAGAAAAATATTAGGAAATCCATTTTTAAATAAGTAAATGTAAACTCTGTTTTGATTTGTGAAACCCATGAGATTTTGAATAAGGATTTTGGTTACTTGAGGGGAAGGTGTTAAGAATCCCTCAGAGCCTATCTGAGATAGTCCTTAAACTCAATTTAGGAAAATATAATTCGAAAAAACTTTTTTATTTATTAGTTTTAAAATCAATGGTAAATAAATTTTATTAGTTTTAAGAAAAAGAGTAAAACACAAGGTACGACATATACATATTCATTAAATAAAATTAATATTAGTATGTTTATTACACTCTAATAAATAAATAAAAAAATATACTAAAAATGTATGACAATTTATATGTGGAAAAAAAATATTGATGGGTCTTATATAAATGTATCAAAATAAATGTTGACTTTAATGATATGAAAATTTCTCGTTTTATTTATATATAGAATTAAGACGTGAAAGAAAATAAATAGAATTGGGTGTAAATATGTAGCAAAAGTAATGTATATATCAAAGTGTAGAGATTGATAAGTTTATAAAAAAAATAACATTTGTAAAAGTGATAGTGGGTATGAGGACAATAATATGAAGTGTAACGAAATAATAAATTACGTATTGAAAAATATAGAATTTGTACCTTTATGCATATATATACGTATGTACCTTATATTTTGGACCTACTGTCATATCTAAAATCTTGAAATAACATGTTAAGGGATTAAAATATTTTGATAATATGTAATTTATAAAATAGATAATAATAATAATAGCAAGATATAGTTTCTTCATAAAGGCGTGATATCAAAAGAATATAAAGTAGGCCCAACTATTGTGACTTAACTAACAAATTACATTCTTATTTTTTTATAAGTTCTAAAAATATGTATTCTTGTCTTCAAGGTAGTGATTTTTAATTGAAGCCCTTAAACGTGATGTTTTAATTTAAAAGATCTGCACCTTTTAGAGCTATAAATCTTCAATTTTTAAGTAAAAAAACCCTGCATCTTTAATTCAAAAATCTGCATTTTTTCGTGCCCCAATGAAGCACATTTTGAGTTCAAATTTGGCACTCTTTTGGGCTCAAAAACGTTGTGCTTTTGGTGCTTAAAACATTGCACTATTTGAGCTCGAAACACTGCATTTTTCCAAGTTAAAATCTGCACTATTGGGATGTTTAAAGCAGCAATTTATACCTCTTAAAATCTGTAATTTTTAAAGCTAAAATTGCACTTTCAAACATCAAAATCTCTTGAAAATCTGGAATTTTTTTAGGCTAAAACCTGCATTTTCAACCCTGAAAAATCCACATCCATTAAGTTGCTAAAAGATGTTACCAACTCTTATATTAGAACAAATCTTAAATGGGTACATTCTTCTATAAGGAAGTAAAAGAAAGCATCGTGCTAGGCCAAATGGTCATACTAGAACCCAATATTTAGAAGGATATGAGATGAACGATCACGTCTTACTATCGTTCTCAATTGGTTTCTATAAACCCAGAATTAAGCAAGACTATATATAGACTATATATGTAGAGATAAAAACTAATTTCTACATTACTGATCTCTGCATTACTAATCCTTGCATTAATAATCTCTGCATTATGCATCTTTGTACCAAACGACCCGTAGTTGTTAAGGAACGAGAGAGGACATTATAGACTATCCTAGTATATGTTATTGTTGGGTTTTATTTGCCCTGATTTCTTACCATAAATAGTTTTCCTCTTAGGAAAAGGTTTTGAATTGACTAATCCTTTTTTGGTAGGAAAAGGTTTAGGACTCTATAAATAGAGGCATGTTCCTTCTAACTTAATCAGCATTCACAATGTAGTCTTAAAGGTTTTGAGAGTTTTGGTTAGAGAGAGAATTTATGGGTCACAAGTTTGATACGTTATCACTTGTGTGAACCTCCCATGTATTCCGAGTGAATTGGTTAAGGTTGTTTCTCTCTATATTTTGTACTCTCATATTTATAGTGGATTGCTCATCTCCTTTGTGGACGTAGGTCGATTGACCGAACCACGTTAAATATCTGTGTCTTTTGGTATATTTCTCGTTGTCTTCTTACTCGTGGTCTTTTGAGGTTTGCTTTGCTAGCTTCCGCATTTACACCTGCTTATTTTCGATCCTAACAGTTATGTAGTAGTGATATTATATGCATAAGAATCTAAAGTACAAGTATATTTGTTTTGAAAATAAGAGGGGCTACACATTATTCCTACAGGCGGGTGAACAATTGTGTTTTCCTAAAAAAATGACATGGAAGCTTTGAAATAAATTCAAACAGATACAAAACTAAGGTGGAATCTATATGCATTGAATAGATCTATGTTGAAGTTTACGTTGAGCTTGCATTTTCGAGACAGAAAACAAGTATATGGAACTCATAGGTTGATAAATATTCATCCCATAAATAGACAAAAAAAAAACTTTAGCATTTTAAAACTCTTTAACACGAATTGCAGTTAATTGAGAGACGCATGAAAGCTCAAGTAAATATTCAATTAATTCGTCAGTCATTATGGGAAAGAAAATTTCTATTGACCATACCTACGTAATCACACATAATAAACTAAAATCATTGAATAAATTCTTATCTAATGTCCTCGACTTCACATGAATAGGGGCAGATTTATCACATGAGAGAAGGGGGGAAATGCAGTAGTTCAATCCAATATATTACAAAGCTATCATGGGATTTACCTAGGCGAAGGTAAAAAACAAAGAGAGAAATTTATCAAATTTCATTCAAAAAACGGAGAAAGTGTCAAACAGAACAACTAGACAACAAGCATTCATAGTGTTTTATGCCCTCTCATGCTAAACTAAAGGTTGCCAACATACCGACGAATATACCAAAGAATAGTCGGATAACAATACTACCATCGACAGCTAACCATGCTTCACAATAGCCTTCCTTCTGTCATCTAATTTGTTCAAGCTAATACACAAATCAGGGGCTGCTTATGCATTTATAATAGACTTCAATCATAAAGATTAGGATTAATCTTAAATTTATAACAACAAACAACTGCCTTTGCGTCAAATGACTACAAAGAGGGGACAACTTCCACAATCGAAATTAAACAGGGGCTTTTTATTTAGAAAAAGAAGATTAAGCTATATTGCACTTCACAAACTCAAAACAGAAAAACAACCTCACATATGTACGCGTCCTAAATCTTATTCAAATCAATACAAGTACAAGGGGGTGTATGTCACTCTATTTTTTAAAAATGAAATAAAAAAACTTAAACTGTACTGAAATAAAAGCTAAAATTTGAACAAAAATAAAGGCGAAGTACTGTACCTTTTCGAGAGCAGCAAACAAGAGCTTGGACGCCAAGATTCAAACTTAAACTCCCTCTTCAACTCAAAAAAAAAAAAAAGAAACAGAGAACTAAAGAGAATAACTAGTTCGCGGATTATTCATTTGGTTCTTGGATTTTCTTACTTGTTTTTCTCTTTGGATTTTGTTTGGACGTTTTTGGATCTGAATCTGCCTCCCCTTCTTATAGTCAATTTGGGCTCCAAGAATTCAAAATTTGAATTCGTGGAAACACAAATCTCAGCAAAGAAATCATGACGGAGAATAAAATTGTCACAAAAGTTTGAGTGACTTGATGAGACATTTTCCGGTGGCCCTGAGTTATTTTGACTGTTAAAGAATGACAAACGTTCCACGTGGTTAATGAAATGGGTGAACTCCTTATAATGCTTCGACAATACTTCTCCCTTTGAGCTAACTTTTGGGGTGTGAGTTAGGACTAAGACCTAATTTCACAAAGTATCAGGCAGATCAGGGCCCGTCTTACCCAATGTTGGAGCCTCAAAAATGAAAAATTGCCCACACATGTTGAGGCACATGTAACACCCCAGAAACTTTTCGAACTAAGACTCAAACCATCCTTCGTGGTGAGTACATTTTTTCAAGGAATTTAAAATTTCATAAGTATTAAGGTCAAATCATTAGATTTAGCACCTTGATTTCCAAAGAGAATTAAAGTGGAAATAACAAAAAAGCTGAAATTTGGAGAGTTAAGCTAAGTATGAGTTTTGAGTCAACTCCAAACGACAATAACTCCTAGCACATGATCATTTAGATGGCCTACAAGATACAATAGGAAATATATTTGAATATCTTTCCAAAGCTGCTGAGTTTTCCAAATTTTGAGTTTGAATGATTGATATATGACCTTTTGAAGTTAGGCTGTTCAGTTAAGGAAAGTTAGCCGAAAATAGTGAGGATAATGTGGTCCTTTCCTTACCCAATCAGATTTAATTCATTTTTAGTCATATTTTAGGGTTATAATCCTTTTAGGTTCAATTTTATAATCCTAATAAACACCTAGGGTTTTAGTTGAGAGTTCAAGAAGAGACAATAAGAGAAAAGAAGAGAAAAGAGGAAAGGATGAAGACGTTCGTCAACATTCTTGAGTTTAGTTGCAGATTTTCTCCATGGGTTTAATCCCTAAAGGTATATAAGCTTCCATAGTGTTTGTTTTGTTCACCCACACGCCAATCATGTTATTTTCAGCGAAATTCATTTTTAAAGTCTGAAGATTAGAGTTCATGAGGAGTTCTTGAAAGGTGTTATTAAATTTCATTTTAAATCTTGTTGTATTGGAGTTTAGATGATTTATTGAGATCAAATTGAGTAATTTTAGTGTTGTTTCCAGTATATTAGAGTGAAATTAATTTAAGTAATCGAATCCAAGTGATTGGGGGAAGAAACCGTTTGATTTTAGACGATTTAGGGTGAGAAAACGAGCAAAAGTGCTCGGCAGAATTTTCTGGGTTAGGGCCCTGGCGCAGCGTGCTTGCTAGAGCACCCCAAACCCATCTCTGTACTTCAGGCTGGCGCTCCGTGCCACCCATAGCCCCAGGTTCGCTTGCCCCATCCAGTTTGCCTTCGGTTGCTCCGTTTGATTTCGTTTCAAGTGCACCTTTACTCCTTTTCGACTCAAACTAATCTAAGGTACTTCTAAACACCTAAAATCAGTCCTAACATGATCAAAACATGATTCAAGTTTTGAGAATTCTTTCAAACATTCTTAGAAAGTCCTTTTGAGGAGTCTTCTACAACTTCTGTTAGCTTGTTTTAAGACTCAAGCTAGTGAGTATAAGAATGAAAAGTATGTATTCATGAATCAAATGAATCACCTAGAACCTCCATGTCACGAACCAAAATTCTGGAATTCATAAATCATATTCAAAAGAGAGTTAATAGTAGAGTTCAAGAAAACCTTTAAGTTAAATTGTGAATTCTTTGAGATCCATCAATGATTGAGCTAAGTTTTGAGCAAGTAAACAAGAGAATGAGAAGAGTCATATACATGTGTTGACACCCAATTTTGACCGACCTTTGACCATTTTTAGGAATACTTTTCGATTAATTACATATTTTAAATTTCAGAATTTTTAGTCGACTTTGCTTGAAAATTATATATTTTAGTATGTTTTACTTTATAAAATTATCATAAATATTACTAAACCATTTTAAAATTATTAATGAATTTCAAATGTTTCAAAATCTAAATTATTTTTAATTATATAAAAATATTTTAATATATGTAGTATTTCAATTAAATAGTAATTCCTACACTTTTCTTAAAATTATTTAAATTCTAACCTATGCTATTCTAATTTCTTCCAATTCTAGTTACTCCACTTCAAATTTTATTCCACTTGTAGCCACTCTTTCATTTCAATTCTAGCCATTTCAATTGCATTTTTAGTCATTCCAATCCTCCAACCAATTTGATTTTAATTTTTCATCTTTTAATCTCATCCGCCCTTTTTCAAAATAAATCCTAGATCGAATCCTAACCTTCTATCTCTATCTAATATAACGGTTGCGATTAAATCTCATATTCTCTTTCTTCAACACCAAAAGACCCCCTCCCTTCATTATTTCATCAACTCATACAATCATTCACTCTCAATCACAAGTTCTCTCATCACTCTTCATTCTCTCATTGCTCTCTTGCTACTCTAAATACATTAAGATTTCGGTAAACATTCAAGTGCTCTTCTTCTCCACTTTGCTATTTTGCTTTTGTTCGAGTAAAGGTTGAATCAACTTGTTTTTTTTCATTGCTACCATTCCTAATCTACTTAACCGGTTAGTATTCAGAATTAACATTTAAATTATTTTTGTATTCATACATTTGTGTGAGCTCATTGTTCTATTCCTTTGTTATGTATACGTTGTTAAACAATTGCGTAATGTCTCACCTTGACTAATGAATGTGATTACTTGTGTAGTTATTTGATTGCTTTGACCTGTTTCAAACTTGAAGTTCAAGTTGAAGATTAACCATGAAGAAAGATTTATTTGCTTATTTGAATCTATATTTTTTCTTTCTTATTTATTTTATTCGAATGTTGTAACATTTGTAACTCTAAAGATCATATATATAAATTTATTTTGGGGATCGTCTAGGGGAGGGGGATTTACATGCTACTTGTTCATTGTAATTTTTTTTAAAAAAAGTTAGAAATCATGCCTACAAGTTTGTCTTTAACCACCTAGAATTATTGTTTGTAGGTGTTATAATCTAACCAATTTTCAATTTGCTTGACACTTTTGTTAATAAGTAAAAAAAAATAATAACTAGATTCCATTAATTTTTGAATGTTAAAATCAAATCATGATAATTTAGTAGGCTGATTAGGTGTTTTAAAAAAATGTTATAACTTTTAGCATTGTCTTGTCACGTAGAAACCATGCCTAAGGATTAATTTGTTCATATAATTTAGATTCACAAAATTATGCATATATGTGTTACTTTTATTGAACACCTAGAAATTCATGTCTACAGACTTGTAAATAACTTTTAACATATCCATAAAAAATAAAATTTGTTTGTGCATATTTGTGTCCTCCCCCTAAAATTAGTTAATATTATTTAATTAGTAATCCTATTTGTCTTCTTGAAGATTTCCGCATTCATGATGCAATATGTTATTTTTTAAAAAAAATAATAATGATACTAAATTAGAATCATTTCATGCATTTAAAAAATTACTTGGCTTTTAAATATATTTCATAGTAAAACCTTTTCATTTAATAAATTTACCACCTTAATGTTCTACTAGTTTTTTTCTTACTTACAAAGTTTTGCAACATAATTTTCTTAAGAGTCATTATTCAATAATCCTTTAAAACTTTGGATTGATTATGACATTGTTTATTTTGAAAATAAATTATAAGCACTATTTCCTAACCTATCGTTAGTGGGAAAGTCAAAGGAACTACGAGGTCTAGTTCCAATTTTAAAACCCGACGCGTCCCAGGAAGTACCGCCTACCCATGAATTTCAAAAGAAATTATGTGTATTTATATGTAAATGTTTATGTGCATATATGCAAACTAAATCTTTTAAATCATTTTTCAAAAATATAAACTATTTTTTTAAGACCGACCTCAAATCAAAATTGTTTCTATGGTGGAGGAGCGCGATCAACAATATCGTGACATCATCCCTATAAAGAAACAAACATTTTTTTAAAATAAAAAATTCATATTCAAAACTTGCTCAATTTTCAAAACTTTACTTTCACACATATTTATTGCTTAATATTTACAAATTTTGTTTATAACTTAGTCTCATATGCTTAAATAAAATAAAACTTGATTGTTTATTTATTGCTATCACCTAGCCTTGCATGCTCAAATTAATGAAAAAAATAATAAAATAGTATTAATTGTTTTATATCACTTAGCAAGATTAAATAAATTAATAAATGAAGTGACTTTGATTGCTAATTGTAACCCCCACATAGATTGCATGAGATACGGTCGGGACCCACACTTGTGGACCTCGAGGGATGCCTAACACCTTCCCCTCGAGGTAATTTGAACTCTTACCCTAATCTCTGGCTCGTTGACGTTAAATAGACTTAGTTAGGTTATATAGGTGTCCTAACGCGCCTTAACTCGTTAGGTGGCGACTCCAAACTCGAACTCCCAAAAGAGTTGTTAGGTCGTGCACAAAACCCATTTTCTGCGAAAATGGGGCGCGACAGAATGGCGACTCCGCTGGGGATATTAGGTTCTTACCATTACGTGTTAATTGCTTATTTATGTGGGGTTTACTTTATTTTTATCATTTAACTATTTGTTAGGTGCTTACCATGTTTAGCTTATTTTGTTGCCTTATTTACTGTTTTCTCTCCATGTTCCATCCCTTTCCCTTTTCCTTAATTGTTTATTACCATGTTTCACATCTTCCCTTTCCCTTACTTGCTTAATTACATGTTTAATCTCATACCCTCTTTCTTTATTTGCATAGTTTTTATATCTTTATATGTTTAATTTCCTTTATTCATGCTTATTTATCTATTTATTGTTTATAAACTGCCTATATGTTATCGCTTTCCAATTTAAATGCTAAATGTTTATTGCTTTGATAATTGGCATCCCTCTCATACTTCCCCCAATTGGGACCCTCTTCCTTTTTTATTTTGTTCTCGTGATGTTGTGCCTTTGCACCTCTCACAACTACTCCAATCTTATTCAAATACCCATTATAGAGAGTCGACATATGCGTGGACGTAACAGATAATTTTACTACCACGAAGCCACGAGCCTCTCGCATAGAATCCCTTTCATGTCCGTGTCAAACCAACTCTTAGAAGTCCTGGTTAAGTGATACATGCTGCATAAGCCCTAGGAGGTTTGACCCTTGGTGTCAATCCATATAATTAGTAGCCTCCCTCTCGTCTAAAGTGTCCAACACCCTTAGAAAAATTGCATATTTATGTGTCAACGTGATCATAATAATTAAATCAAGCCAACATTGTCAAAATAGAGTTTAGAAGTCGTTTGTTACTTTGTTTGCAGAGTCATGGCTCACCTTCGCTTTCCCAACACGCAAATGGTGGTCAAAG